CGAGGCCGAATCCGTGCAGAAATTCAAATCTTTGTTGGATTTACACTTCGCAAACATACGTTTCAGAGAACGGTTGCCACTTGCCAACGATATCACCCACTTGTGACTCACTGTGTGAACAAGCATTTTGTGTGCTACAGAAGGAATTGCTGAACCATCTCAGGATAACCACCGGACGTATTTATTTTTTTTAAATGTTTTTGATTATCACCCGATGGAGTTGTACAGAATTATTTTCTACTTGCTCCAAAATACAGTATTCAGTATTCAGTGCAATGCAGCGGTACGTTCGACCCTACTGTACGGTTGTGAAACCTGGCCGCTTAAAGCCCCGGACCTGACAGCGCTAGTTGCGTTCGACCTCCGGTGACTTCGTAATTTGGCTCACATCTGGTGGGAACACTGCGTGAGCAACGAGCGTGTTCGACGCCTTGTTTACGGAACAGGAAAGGGAAATGAACCGTTCAGCACTGTCATTTCACGCACTAGGCTTCGATGGCTCGGCCACGTGTTGCGCATGCCAGCCAACTGACTCCCGCGACGTGCGTTGTTTGCACACCGGGGATGTGGATGGAAGAAGAGGGGTGGCCTAGCGATAACTTGGTCGAGAGGAATGAAGGCCCTCACTTCTGAGCTGGTCTCGGTTAGAGCGTCTCGGCTCGTTGGTTGGGGTCCGAAAGACGGTGAGCACGTTTGGCTGGATACACTTGCTGATATGGCTAGGATCCGACCTCAGTGGCGTTCCTGCTGTGAGTTTGTTTGTCCCACCCCATCCCTCTTAGCCTCCCCGTCCCACCATGATCTCATTACTTAGCCTTTTGTAATTTTGAATAGTAATTTTTTTGATTCACAGTAGATGGCTGGTTGCTTACCGGAACGATGCCCATCCGTTACCGGTATCTCAGCCGGCTTGCACCAGTTGCATTTTTTCTCCTTTTTTCTGTGTATTGCGGCGCAGTAGCTGAGGTGTTCCCCACCTCCAGCTAACGTGTATGACGATGACGATGATGTGGTAGGAGACGTTCGGCGTAAGACACAGGATTCATTTTACCGGTTACTGGGGAATCCAAAATTTTCTCAACTGGAGGTCTGACTGATGCCAAAGGCGAGTTCGGCAAGGCTGCATCCAATATCCTCTTTACCGGTAGTACGAATACCAAGGATGGCTGAAATGCGTTCAGACAAATGTGGGTCAGGTGAATTAGCTGAGATGGCGGCTTTAAGCTGTCGATGGAAACGGTAGACAAGGCCATTCGAAGCGGGATCATAAGCAGTTGTCCGAATGTGGGTACAAACCAACAGACAATTCAAGTCACGGAACAAGATGGAACTAAACTGAGATCCTCGATCTGTAGTGATCGTAAATGGCACACCGAAGGAAATCCATGAGTCGAAAAATGCACGGGCAACAGTTTCTGAAGATGTGCCACGTAAAAGAATGGCATGCGGCCAATGAGTAAAACGGTCAACACAAGTCAAAATGAAAAGGAAATTGTTGGATGGAGGAAGCGGTCCGACTATGTCTAGGTGGACATGTCTAAAAAGCGCCTCGGGTAGTGAGAATGTTCCGGGGCAGAGATAGTGTGTCTGTGTATTTTGCTGCTCTGGCAGTTGAGACAGGGTTCAGCCCATTGACGGATATCGGAGCGCATACTAGGCCAGATGTAACGATCATTAATCAACTTCACAGTGGATCGAACGCTAGGACGCGATAGTCCATGGAAGTGGTCAAAGACGGTTCACCGAAAAGACGGGGGAAAACGGTCTTGGCTTACCCGTAGAGACATCACAGTGAATCCTTGAGTCTGTTTAACATAATTAATTGCAAGAACTTCAATGTAGTATTCGATGGAAGCTGAGCGAGTTCAGGATCGTTGTGCTGGGCAACAGATATTTCCTCAATATCTATTGAAAAGGAGGAAAGTTGATGTATGTGATCACGCGAAAGTGCATCAGCGAAAACATTAGTTGGACCGTCGAGGTAGCGAATATCGACAGAATTGTGAGATAATCTAACTGTCGTGTCTCTCCCGGAGAATAGCGGTCAGAAGCGACACGAAAAGCGTACACCAAAGGCTTGTGGTTCGTCAGGAGTACAAAACCTCGTCCTTCAAAGACGACGAGTGTTTGACGGCCAAATAGATCGCGAGAAGTTCGCGACCGAAAGTACTATATCTCGTTTGTGCGGGCTGGAGCTTCCGGGAAAAGACAGCGGCTGAATCTCATTGCCGATTAGTTGTTGCAGTAAAGCATCAACAGTGGATTGTGAGGCATCATTGTTGAGAAGGAGAATAGCTTTCTCGTCGGTGTCCAAGTAGCCCAGGGAAGTTACCTAACTCAACTTCTGCTTGATGGCAACAAACACTGTTTCGGCATCTGGCGTAAAGGTGAACTTCTTTGGATTACCTTTAAGTAAATCAAAGGCTGAAGAACGGCGGAACAATTGTCAATCTTCCGTAATAATTAGCCGTGCCGGAATCGGCGCAGGTCTTTAACGGACTGAGGCAGTGGATAGTCCATGATCGCCTGGGTTTTCTCAGGGATGGGACAAATGCCTTTGCTATTAATTCTTTGACAAAGAAAATCGATGCTTAATTGACCAAATAGACATTTAGCAGGATTAATGCTTATCGCATGATGATCGAAGAGTTCGAATACTTGTCGAAGATGATCCAAGTGCTCTTCTGGTGTGGCACTAGCTACTAGGACCTCGTCAAGGTAGACAAAAACAAAGTCTAAGCCAGGGAGGACCTGATCCATGAGACGTTGGAAGGACTGGGCCGCACTGCGAGGGCCAAAAGGCATACGAATGAACTCGTACAAACCGAAAGGCGTGATAACGGTCGTTGTAGCATTGTAAAGCAAGAAGCAGGATCGGTAGGCTTTAGAACCAATACGCGAATATAAGGCCAACCTCCGATGAGTGGAGAACACCAAAAGTAACGCTAGGAAAAATTTATTAAGCGGGGCGAAACGCTATCTAGTGCTAAAAATAAGGCACCGGAAGATAGCTAGCTAGGGGAAAGGTGTGGTCGCGTGCGCGGAGAGCAAAAATGGCCGCGGAGCCGATGAGCGTCGCGCCGTTCGAAGGCGGATGCTATGCTGACTCAAACAAACGCGAGCAACGTTCAAACAGGCGAGCGGCTAATTTGCTATGTACATCGAGAAAATATAATTTTGTGACTTTGTAATATTTTACGCAGCATGCGGCAGCCAAACAGGGGAATCTCCAGGTCACTACAATTGTCTTCAGATGCCATTGGAATCTGATGGTAAGCACGCATAAGGTCTACCTTGGAAGACAGGTTTCCAGGACAATCCCAATGAAAAATCATGAATATGAGGGACAGGGTATCTGTCGAGGATGATAACGGCGTTGAGTGCCCGGTAACCACCGCATGGAAGCCAATCACCGGACCTTTTGGGTACAAGATGAAGCGGGGAAGCCCAACAACTGTTGGATGGGCGAATGATGAAGAGGTTGATCATATTCTCGAATTCACGTTTAGCCGCTTGGAGGTTGTCAGGTGGAAGATGTCTCGGTTTGGCTGACACGGGTGGCCCCGTTGTGACGATATGACGAAGAACCTCGTGTTTAGGCTCGGTAGAGTTGCTATTAGTACGGACCAAAAAAGGGAAATGCTGCAGCAATGATGTATACGGCGTAGTCTGGCATGAGTACGCCAAGTCCGAGGGAAGTGAATGGGGCGACATGCCAAGGAACCCTGAGCGAAGTGCTGTCGTCCCGTGACTTCCTGCAACGTAGATTGACGAGGAGGCCAAATTTCCTAAGGAAGTCGATATCAATTATAGGTTGTTGGACGTCTGCGATGATAAAGATAAAAGGAAATTCGCGTCATAAACCAAGGCTCAGGTGCAACAGCTTCTGGCCGTATGTCGCGATCTTGGTCTGGTTAGTCACCTGCAAGTCACCTGCAAGTACCGTTTGTTGCAGAGCGCATTTTTTCCAAAAGATAGTGGTATAACGCTGATTTCCGCGCCCGTATCGATAAAAAAATTAAGTGTAGTCGTGGTGTAGCACACGTACAGAAGGCGACTGAGGATTTTGCCAGCGACAGCCGCCATCAGTACTGGCTGCCTTTGGCGTTTCCCGGTTGCGACATCAAAGTTCCTTTCAGATAATTGTATTCCGGGCGACGGTTACGTGCTGCTTCACCGAAGAGATGGTGGAAGTACCAGTACGACCGCTGACGTGAGGGTGATGGGCTGTGGCGCAGACCACGAGGACTTCTTCGGTTATTAGTGCGTTCACGTCGAATAGCAGATATGCTGAGTTCTAAACGGGAGATTCTATCATTGGTCGAATCAAGCGTAGTGCTATGGGATGAGCTGGCTGTGGTTGACTCAGCTAGGTGGTTAGGAGTATTCTTGAAGGAACATTCGTGCGTTTTGTCAGAGCATTCTGCGAGTTTTTCCAGAGTGATATCATCGCTAAGAACTGATAAAATCGCAGTGATGTTTGCCGGAAGACATTTCGTCCAGTTGGAGGAGTATGGAGTCGTCGAGTTTCGACTAACCAACTAGGGAACGCATGTGTTTGAGAAGCTGAGATGGAGTGCGATTGCCAAGCTCGACTCGGAAAGTAACTGTTGCAGACGAGTCTCATCGGACGCAGTGGTGCGTTTAAGAAGAGCTGCTTTAGGTTTAGCAGACGACTCTTCTGCGCGCACAGGATCAAGTATATCGATGATTTCAGAGGCAACAGAGACAAATAAGGGCTAGACGACATTTGAAAACATGGAAGATTGTGTTCTTACGGCATCGAAAAGTGGCTACTACCTGAATAAACCACTCACGTGCCTGCGGATAACGACGTCCGGTGGCTCGTTCCCATTCTTGCTATACGTTTGTCTTACAAGTGAAATGCGCTTGAATACCGGTGTTTCAACGCACATTGGTAATAGAATTTGACGTCTGTCAAATTCTTTCACACATCCAAGGTGATTTGGATAGCGATACCTATCCACAAGACATCAAGCATGACGAGCAAGGTCCAGCGAGCTGCGACCTCCCGTGCGTCTAGCACTTTGGACGCTACTCTCGACAAAACGAGAGCAGCAGCAGCATTTAAGTGCCTGAGCTGCAGCAGAAATGTCACTTCTCGGTCTAAAGCGCTGCAGTGCGGTCTGTGCGAAGGATGGGCCCACACAACGTGCAGCGGCATTGAGCACGATCTTTATGAATGCCTGAAAAGAACGGCATCTTCCGCGCTAACATTCCACTGTGACAAATGCCGACTTATTGTTAACGATAAGTCCCTTCTGGCGAATCTGACTTGGGCGAAAAAGACAGATAATAACGCCGCATTGGTGACGCCCGTACTACCGCCCGTGACTCCTCCATGCATCCATACTGTGCGCAATCGAAGCCGCTCCTCCTCCGCTTCATCAGCGGACACACCAATGCATAGTTCACAAGACAACCGAAAAAAGCCATCTGTCGGCACTCCAACTGCAACTGCGACCTACGCAGCCGTGGCCAGCGCTGGCGCCGCAAAACCACCCGGCTGGGTCCAGGCCCCTAAAAAGAAAAGTTGTAAGGCGGTAAACAACAACAAATCGAAATCACCGTCTACAGTGTCACAACTAAAGTCTGTGCTAAACAAGGTAACGCGATTTGAGAAATTGCTAGCCGAGCAACCGGCCTTACCGAAACCGGTGAAGCCAAGCGATAGCAAGTCACCACGGGGACGGCTATGCAACGTCATGATTTTCCACGCACCTGAGTCGACTGATCCCAGTCCCCAGGTACGCTATGACCATGATGTGCAATTCTTGCAGTCTCTAACCGACAAACTACTGGATGTTGGCAAACCCGGGTTATGAGTGGAACAAGTCACTCGTCTGGGGAAACAAGTTGATGGCAAGTGTCGGCCTCTGCGCATCGCGTTCGCCGACGAAACTGCCCCAAGGTTAGTACTGTCCCGCCTCAGTCTCCTAAAGGGGATGAAAATCCATGTCCGGCCAGACCTTGATCCCGCAGAACGAGAGCAGCTGAAGTCTGCCGTGATCGAACTGAAACGACGCACGGACGCCGGTGAAACTAACCTGCGTATCGTAAATTTTCGCAGTTGCCCGGATACCCCGAATCCGGGTAAACAGAGCAATGACGCTTCAAGCTCGCCCAGCGGTTCCTACCGCGGATTGCGTGTAGCGTTCATTAATGTATGCAGCTTAATGGACAAGCACGATGATCTGATCCGCTTCATTGCTTCACGTCGGCCAGATGTGGTTGGTTTGGCTGAGACGTGGTTGACATCTGAAGTGACAAGCGAAGAAATTGCGATCACGGACTATTCGTGCTTCCGCTGTGATCGACAGTCGAATAGCCGTGGTGGCGTCCTACTTTACATCCGGTCTACCCTGTGCGGGAGACTTGTGAGCACCTACCGAAACATTGACGGTCTATGTGAGCAGCTGTGGTGTTCGATCCACCTACGACGCGGCGAACTGCTTGTGGGTGTAACATATCGTAGCCCACTGAGTAACGGATTGGATTGGCTCACACACGTCCAAAACCAAATGAGTCGCCCGCAGTTCCTGCTCACTGGCGACTTTAATCTTCCTCGAATCTTATGGCCTGAAGTTCAGCTTCTCCCTGGCCATAATGAAGTGGAGACAAGATTCGCCGAACTGGTACTGGAGACCGGAACGGTGCAGCACATCACGCAACCCACCCGCATAACCCCGCGCTCAATGCCATCATGCCTGGACCTGCTGCTAACCAGCTGCGAACAAACAGTGCATGACATAGAAGTTCTTGAGCCCATGCCGGCCAGTGATCACTCGACAATTATGGCCACTATAGACCTGCAGTTTCCATGTGTGCGTCCAGTGGCGCCAACACAACTATTGGAAAGCTGACTTCGATGGCCTCATTCTAGCTGCCAATCAGCTTGATTGGTCTATGCCACAGGATTCATCCGTTGAAACTTGCTGGGCAAACATTAAAGGGGCAGTGCACTCATTGTGTGCGCAATTTGTACCCCTCAAGACTCAGAAAGTTGGACCAATGAAACCCCATCGGTTTGACAAAGAGTATAACCGACTGTCTCGACAACGGCGTCGACTATGGAATGCGTTCCTCCTGTCTGGCTCTGCCGATGACTATGAGACATACAAGCGACAACGAAACTTGTGCAACAGCACAAAGACGCGAAAACGCCGTCAGTTTGAGGAGCAGCTTGCTTGCTCAGCTAAAACTGCCCCGAAGCGCATATTTGCGTACGTGAAGCGACGCCTGAAGTCTGCAGGTAATGTGCCGGTGCTAGTGGGTTCGAACGGACAACCACTAAGTTCAAGCACCGAGCGTGCGTCCGCATTAGCGGCGCACTTCGCTTCTGTATTCGCAACTAACCAAACCTGCGCGCCAAGCTCTGCCGTCGCCGCACCGACTGAGCTAACCGACTTGATCTGCGACGTCGCGGAGGTACATGGGCTAGTCAGCTGCCTAGACAGCACGAAGCCAGCTGGACCGGATGGTCTCCATCCGCTGATCCTCAAGTCCTTGTCAGCTGTGATCTCACCTGCTGTAAACGACCTGTTCAACCGATCCCTGTCCATAGGCTGCGTGCCTTGTGACTGGAAATGCGCCGTTGTCAAACCGATTCCAAAAGGCGGTGACACATGCAAAGTGGAGAATTACCGCCCTATTTGTTTGACCGCAGTATTGTCGAAAGTTCTGGAGATTGTGAAGAAGAGACTGCTCCAGCTGCTGGAGACCAACTCTCTCCTGACGCCTGCACAGCATGGTTTCGTGAGAGGCCGCTCGTGCATCACTAACCTGCTGCTAACATGGCATGAATGGTTGCAAGCAGTAAACCAACGTAAGTCAGTCGACGTGGTATACGTCGATTTCAGTAAGGCCTTCGACAGAGTGAATCACGAGATCCTCCTTCAGAAACTGAGGGAGTGCGGAGTCGGAGTCTCGCTGCACCAATGGATCCGTGACTTCTTAGTTGGACGGAAGTGGAGGGTGCAAGTCGACAGCCACCTGACCGACTGGTACCCGTCGACGAGCGGCGTTCCTCAGGGGACGGTGCTTGGCCCCATTCTCTTCCTGATTCACATCAACGACGTGCCCAATCTTCTTCGGTCGCCGTGTGCCTTGTTCGCGGATGACCTGAAGCTATGGAGGGTGATCCATACGTCGGACGACTTTGACATACTTCAGCAGGACCTCGACCCCCTCTCCATGTGGTCCGCCGAAGTAAGTTTGCCTATCAACTCGGCAAAATCGCTACTTCTGTGCCTCGGTAAAGGTGGAGCGGGCCGATCGTACACTCTCGACGGCCAAGTTCTACACCCGACGCATTGCGTCAGAGACCTTGGCGTTATACAACGTTACGACATGAAGTCACTGGACAACACGGACAATACGTATCGCACAGCATTGCGTTCGCTGTGGGCGCTGAAACGTAGCTTCTGCACCTGGTCGAAAGAGATTGCCACTCGCCTCTTCACATCCATTGTACGACCGGTGCTAGAATACGGCTCACCCGCCTACTGTCCGTTGACGAAAAGCGAGATACACAAGCTCGAAAGAGTACAACACATAGCCACACGGATCATTCCCGGTCTTCAGGGTGTGCCGTATGAAGAAAGATGCAGACAATTGGGTCTGTATACTCTAGCCTACCGCCGCGTGCGAGTGGACCTCATCATGACCCATCGGGTATTGCATCTGGGTGCTTATCCGATGCTGAGGCCACTGCTCCATGTCCGTGCGTCAAGCAGCACACGAGGTCACCAGTACAAACTGGTGGCCCCTGACCTAAAGTGGGTAGCTCATCCCTTGTGTCTTGAGCGGCGAGTGGTGAACATGTGGAGCCGTTTGCCCTCGCGGATAGTAGAAGCGAACTCGGTGTCGGAATTCACACGATTCCTGGACGCGCACTTTGCGGATGCCAGATTCGACGAAGCCTTCACAGGAAACTGACGAAGGAATCGTTCAATGATTATAACCCATAGAGCCCGTTAATCCACCAACTGCAGCTTCTGAAACGATGCCCATCCGTAATAGGCGGCGGAGCTGGTGAAGGACTCCATGTGGTTCATCCAAGTATATATCGTAAGTACATGGAGATTTTTTTTATGCTTGTAAATATTTTGCTTTTTTCACCTGGGCTAGCTCACTACTACAGGTAACACACTGTGTCAGTGGGACATGTCCTACATTGAGATATAGCTACATAGATGTTCAACATCTTTCTCGCTATCATGACAGTAAAGCAAAGTAAAGTAAAGTAGAAATGTCGAAGGTAGGAAGCGAGAGTTCGACGGAATTGTCAGTAATAACACATGGGGTCTGATCAGAAATGACTAAAAAAGTGCTCACAAAAGATAAGGTAAGGTCACCAATTTATGTAGTGGACGAAAGAATACTAAGAAGATTAGAGTCCCTTAGTAAACGAAAAAAGTTGGAGAGAGTCAACTCAGTCTAATCCCAGTTGAATTCAAATCGTAGATCGCGCTATACCTGTGGCACATGTCGAGTATGATGGAAATAGACGTTCGATATTAATTCCGGAGCGACCTCCTAACGATAAGCGATTAAAGTGTTGCACGTGACGGATGCCTGGTACAGTCAGGGTAAACGTGCTCTTGCAGTTTAGATGTTGTACGGTCATGTAAATGGTAAGGGCAAGTTAAGAGTAATTTCTATATACCTTAAGGTTAAGGATTGAAGGCAGTGTAAGTGGTTTGTTTATATGAGTTATTTAGCTGGTACATTTTGGCGCGTTTCGTGTCGTCCGCCATGCAGGATGATACTGCAGCATTTCATTGCATGATAACTGGTGGTTACGAGGCATTTGAGGAGTTCCAACGTGATTTGATGCGGTTCCAAAGAGAAACTGCAAGTTCGTTTTATAGCTGCGCGGTGATTACTGCCGTGGGTCATAAGCAAAGTACTGGAAAAGAACTCCCTGATGGTTATCGTTGTCGATTCATTCAATATCGATGTGTGCATGACAAGCGTAAGAACTTGAAAAGGAAGTGGTAAGGTGCATAATAATTTGAGTGCTGTTAACTCTTTTATATATAAGTGCTACAACGGCAAGGCCCGATATTTTGTGGCGCTGAAAGGCTGAAATCTTTGTTTGAAAACGGTGGTTGAATAACACTGCACAGAAAAGTTAGCCTTTGACAGTCTTCTTGGGATCCGAAAGGACTTGGAAGTGCCAACTTACGGGACTATTTGGTCACGGCCTACCTGTCGTGTTTCATCGTTATAAAGCACCGGGCCCTGATGATTTACCTCATGCTGTATTTAATGATAGAAGCTATTCGCCGGTTCGAGAATTCACTGCTTTGTTCTCAGAAGTCTGGTCATTGGATGTGGTTCCATCGTCTTGCTGTAAGTCGATAGTTGGCCACATCTTCACATAGGGCGTAACTTTGGTTCCTCAAGTATGAAAGCTTTTGATGTCCATCAGACTTCGCAAGCTATCCACAGCGTGCGATGACCAGGCTAAGTTCCACTCTGGTTGCGTCCGCATCGATCATACGTTCACACCACCAGATCTTTTACCTCCGTCGTGCGTACCGAAACCAACGGTTGTTGTGTTCTTGGATAGGCGTGCTGCCTTCGATTCTGTCTATAGAAATACATAGTTGCAATGTCTTGATGAATGGCATCCTGGACAACTTCGTTCCCGTACTGCGTGCTCTGTGTGCTCTGGCTTTAGGTAAACTAAAAGCTTATGACAAGACGAGACAGGATCTTAACGTGGTGTGATGGCTTGTGTGCCTCATTCAACTATGCTGGGTGGTGCTTTTTGCACCTTCAGAGCCACTCACACCACATTGCTCAATGGTTAGAGGCCAGACAAACTCAGCCTCCTGGTCCTCCATGTTGGGGGTTAAAATGAAGGTGGCTCCTTATTCCTTAAAACGGACTCCTCGTAGCCCAGTGCCAAACCTGCTGCCTTGCAGACAGGTTTTTGAACCGAAGGCTTTGGTTGAGAACCCTAATCGTTCTCTTGTCTAGGCCTGGGCAACCTGACAGTTTCCTGCCCACGCAATACCATAAAATCTTTCCTCAAACAAATTTCTGATGCTCTGGCCACCGCAGAGGATAATCAACGGTGCCCTGTCTGCTGCATCGAGCAGGGTGGATAGGGGTTGGGAAGCTACTGCTCAAGCCTCCCCGTCTTCTTATTCTCCGCTTGCGCTTTTTCACCCTTATCGTCCCTTTCCAGCTTTACTTTTATTCCCCGGTTTTCAACCCCTCCAATACTCGGCCCTCCCCCACCTTGCTCCAATAGTCGCTCTAATTGTCCGCAGAGTGAAGCAACGAGGTGTGAGTGATACCTGGATCAACCTGCTGATTGACAACAGGGATTTCACTTCCACCAACTACATAACGCGTGGGGGGACTAGCACCTCTCACGCGGAGGACAGCATCTTTTGCCTGATTTATAGACATCAACTATAGTTTGACCAAGCCTAAAGCCTATCCAAGGCTCACTGTGTGGCCTGAGCCCCAGGGATATCCAAACTATATCAGAGCTTGATGTCAACCGTAAACAATGGCGACGGTACTTCAAGCTCCTGGTGTAGGTCCTTGAGATAAATTGTGAAAAGCAGCGACCATTGAACCGCGCCCTGCGGAACGTTACTAAGAACAGCTTGGCTAAGCGAAATGATACGCCCAACGCGTACACTATGCTCTCTTCCCACTAGGAATGCAGATACCCATTTAGGGGCGACTCCGGATATCCCATACGATCTCAACTTCAACGAGAGTCGTCGATGTGGGATAGCATCAAAGGTTTTCGAGAAGTCAACGAAAAGCACGTCGATAGCGTGACCGTTGTCTATTGCTTCAGTCCAGCTTTCACGAGCTACAATGTAACTTGGTCAGACATTAAAATCCCTTACGGAATCCGTACTGTGCCGCACTCAGAAGGTTAAGCTTAATCAGGGTTTTCTCCACCGAATCCCTGACTAATTTTTCAGACAACTTAACGACTAGGCTTGTCAAGCTGACAGGCGTGTAGTTCGCGGGCAGAGCTCGGGCACAGCCCTTAAAAACCGGACAGATGGTTGCCTCCTTCGATTCCGAAGGTATGGCACAGCTGTCGGGCGGTATTGTAAACACACATGTCAGTGTGCCACTTAGCTTAGCGGCCAATTCATACAGCAGCTTCGGAGGAATTGTATCAGGGCCAGAAGCTTTGGAAGGATTTAGCCCTTCAATAACCCGAGGACTTGTGTCTCCCTTATGCTGCTTTCAGTTAGGCAAGGATCCTCCGGGACTTACGCGATCAGTTCAAACTTAGGTAGAGAGGCCTCACGAGAAAAGACACCAGTATACTGTTCGCTAAGTATACAAGACTTATCATAGTCGGTAGGCCCACGGGTGCCGTCCGCTCGTAGTTATGCCGGTATGGACAAGTTTGTGCTGCGTCTCTTTAAGTAAGCGAAGAACGGATTTGTTACGATTGCGTCAGCCAAATGCTCCTCCTACTGGAGACGAAGAGTTCAAAGATGTTGCTTACATTTTTTCTAATAGCTAGATAGCTTTCGTAGGTGCTGTTTGATGAAGCCGTTTGGGAAGGTCGTCAGCATTTAGAGCGCTTCCTGAGCAGGTATTATTTCGTGTGACCTATTTAATGAGCTGCACCCATGTCACCTGTCTCATAGTGAGTGGGATGCGGGTAGCAGAGGTCTCGATAAAGAATGCCTTAACTTACTTCCACGTTGTCTCAACGGTGTCAGCCAGGGTGATGGCACAACGCAGAACTGAGTCTTGGTCTCGCATTGCGTTAAAAGCTGCCCGTCAAATATTTGGATATGCCTCGGCAGTACCTTGATGACACTTAGTTAGAGCATAGCAAAAGAATATGCAGACATGGTCACTGTTTCTTAGGTGACAGCCGTACCTAATATCACCTATGAAATCGTGTGACTTCGCAAAATTGTGATCCAAGGTAAACGGAATTTGGTTGCTCACACATCTACTCGGGAGGTCCAAGAATTGATGCAAAGGCAGTTGTAATGTTAACTCAAGGAGATCCGAACTGAAAAAGCTCACCGCCGAATTGCAAAACAGATCAGCTCAGCAAACTTCAAGGTGGTTGAAGTCAACCCTTCTTAGACACCTATTGGCAACCTGAGTACGAATAAATTCCGTAACCTCCATGGAGCTACTTCCTGGACTTCCATATACCAAGACAACTGTAAACTGTGTAGAGATAGTGCACACAATAGTCGACAGGGCTTCAACGGTTTCATTGGGCGACTGGAAAACACAGTTTCCCCGCACATCAGGTTTACAATTCACATAAAATGCGACGCTCCCAAGTTGGCTGCCAACGGAGGGCTCACAGCTATGTGCGTAGCCTGGTAAACATACTTCGCCGTCTGTGATATCCAAGAACAACCACGTTTCGATGATAGTATGTATGTCGGGACGAGCTTTGTCTATAAGTATACCCACCTATACTTTGTTCCTTAGGCTACGCACATTATTAAGCACTACCCGAAGGAACTCGGCACGGCCAGTCCTGTGTTGTTCGTTACCAGGAAGGGTGCTGGTAGGGCAGAATTTGACTTCCGGCTACCCACCTAAAAACCCACAAGACGAAGGCCTTGCTCACCAGCCTCCCGCCTGTTCTTGAGGCTTTTGGTGGTTTCCTTTAACTTCAGTCAATCTGCCAGTGGGAGGTCTGGCTAGCCGCTGACATTACTGCTCGTGAGTTTGAATGTAAGGCGCAGTAACTCTTTGCGTTCCTCCGGGGTTGAGTGGACTAAACAAAGTATTTGCGGTCACGTTTCTATCTAGTCCACGGGGACGTTCCCCAAGCTCGTTAGCTAGTCGTCGAGGTTGCAAATGAATCAACCGTTTATCCTTCTTGACTGTTGTCACGCTACTTAATGGCTTTCTCGGTCCCTGGTTCCGAATGACCTGGAATAAAACTGTCAATTTTTATCCCACGTCCTCTATCCAACCAGCACCCTGGCATTTTTGGCAACAAGGCGCGCTCGTTAGAGATAGTCATTTTCCCTACTTTGGTTTACTCTATGTCCTTGCTGTTTAACGATGCTGGGCCGTCACCGTCAAAAAACGAGATTGCTGCTTGATAGCGAGCAGCACGACGTAGTTCATCAAAACACTCAACTTAGCAGCTGAATCAACAATGATGGACGCATAGCTACTGCAATAAATTCACGTATTGCAAAACGTAGCACCACCTTCCGGCGCTATCTTTGGCGTCAACCAGGGGCTTTCCTCCGTTTGGACGGCTGTGTTTGCCTGGCCAAAATGTGAGCCCTCCTGCATTCTGAGCGTAAGACTTGGCCCTTTCTGTCTAAAGATCAGAGAAGCCTTCGAGTCGTTGCTCCTCGTGGTCTGCGGAGAATTGCTGGTGTCAGGTGGTACCAACGTGTCCGCAACGATGCTGTGCGTAGGGGCGTGCCGGACAGTGATACGCAACCTAGTTCCATGGAACAGCATCTAGAAGTGCATAAGCTGCGTCGACTTTAGCACCTACTACGTTTGCCTGGACACAGCTTACCGAGGT